GAGATGAAGTAGTTTTACTAGTCATTTGTGAGTAGTGCTTTTGTTCACCTTATTGTTGTTTTTCATTACAACTTTCTGTCTTAAAATATTTAATGTTTGAAATTAAGACTTTTCACTTATGAATGATTTTATTTATGATTAGTTTATCTTAGCGTTCTCATCACAAATTTCTGTCATGAATTATTTGAAATTTGAAATTAAGTCTTATCATTTATTACTTATTATTGACTAGTTTATCTTTCCGTTTTCATCATAACTTTCTGTCTGAAATTATCTGAGATAAAGTACACTATTTACATTGTTCAGACTATCAGCCTCATCTTTGTTGCCATATTTATCACAACGTTTCATGCATACAACGTTTCAGAAATTCATACACATAGGACACATAGCACAGTGGATAAAGGCGTTAGTTAGATCCAGTGACAGGACTCAAAGAGTGTGAGTTCAATACCTGGTTAAGGCAGTGGAGAACTTGGAGGAGAATTAACAGGAGATAACTGATAACTGGCATCCATTAGACATGATACGTGGAACTAGAACAGTCTACCCCAGCGAGTGGAATAAAGGGTTCATTTCGACATTCCAACTACCTGAAGAAGGCCGGGGCGTACAACAGTCGAAACGTTGTGATAAATATGGCAACAAAGATGAGGATGATAGTCCGAACAATGTAAATAGTGTACATAATACCTCATCTCAGAAATATAGACTGATACTTAGATAAAGCATTTTCACTATTCGGTTTTGGATTTTTTTTTTATCTTGCAAATGAATGAAGAGGAGACTAGGCAAATTATTTTTGAGATTAGAAGTCATTGACGGTGTGCTCTGGGCAAAGAATTATTTCTGCCAAATACGGCGTGTCGAGATTGGAGCATTGGTGATGCGTGTTCTGCTGCCTGCGGGTGGTGTTTACATGAACTTCAAACTTCTTTTCTGTGGCATGACCTTTTAGGACGTGGGACAGTCATAGCTCTCCGCAATTTCCTGTCTTTTGTTGATCCAAGTAGCTTTTTTGGTCGTTACGCATCCTTATTTGTTTATGTTTTGCCATCCATTCCTTTCATCTTTTATGTGCCATGTCCTTTCAGTACGTGGATGATTATAGCTCTCCACAACGTCCTGTCTTTTTTTTTTTTTTGCTCTGTAGCATTTTTTGCCCATTAGGCATCCCTATTTGTCTGGTTTCTTCCATTTATTCACACAAATTCGGTAAGTATGTTACTCTCTGTTTCTATAGCTTCTCTAGTTTTCAATATGTCATGAGAGTGTTTACTTCTTTAGGTCTTCTTTTCTCATTATGTGACCTAGTAATTTCGTCTATCTCTTTCCATCTGTATAACAATAAAATTCCTCATTACCTTATTACAATTTTCCAAATACACGAGACTGTTTATGACCTCAGACATTAGGAGTTATATGGATGCCCAAAAATAATAAAAATTTGCAGTATCTGAAAAATGTACTGAAAAGCAAGCAGGGTTAGACGATCAGCTTTTCTCTCATCTATGTACCCCCTCCTTACCACCAGCGAAAATCAGTAACAGCTTAACTTCATTTGGATTAGTGTTGACGGCTGACTTTAGATTTCAATCAATAAGATCGATCATTAAGCTGTAATTATATCAGGGTATTTTAAGGGTAGAGTGACCTGACAAATATGATATTTAGGCCTATGTTAGAAAACGCACACACACATACACACACACAGTGATATAGATATTTAATAAACTGATCATAATCACAAAATTAGAGCATTCAGTGAGGATCGAACTCACTAACAATCACGCCACAGAAAGAGCCTATCTTGATTTGCTTAATTTATTGTGTTACAAGACTGCAAATGTGGAGCAACGCTGCGAAAATCGAACTTACTCCAGCAATAACTTTCTGCAAGTCTAGCTCGTTAACCATTGTTCCGTGTTAAAGTCTCTCTCTCTCTCTCTCTCTCTCTCTATATATATATATATATATATATATATATATATATATATTAAATAAGCGTAGCTTTATACAACACAAGGCGATATATATATATATATATATATATATATATATATATATATATATATATATATATATATATATAAAGAAAATGGGTGCCAATATTTTAAACCAAATTTAACGAATAAAATCAGTTGTATTCAGTTTCCTTTTGGTCAAAATAGTTGGATCAAAATAAAGTCGAAGTCAAATAATCTTTAAAAACTTCAATGTACAACTCAGTCTGATAGATTGGTAAATCATTCGTGTGCTCAAAAATACCTTCTCAGATTAATTTAACTTTAAACTTGATATTTTACGAAAATAACGTTTTAGAAATATATATTTTATTTTAGGCGGATTTTTTAAAACATAAATTAAGTTTTGTTTTTTAAGACATAATACTAAATGTTTTTTATCTACATTCATTTCTGTATTTCTTTCAATTTTTATCTATTATCAATGCTGTTAAGTTCACTGATGTAAGAAATGTAACTCTCTAATTTTTACTGTTCCTTAAAATAATATTTTCTTAATATTTTCTCCAAATTTCACAATTTTGTACAAAGCTTTTGTATTTTGCAAAAAAAAAATCTCTTTAACGTATGTTCACAGCGTACGTACACAAGAATGAAATAACAAGACATAACGTTTGTTATTTAAATTTAAAATAATCCTCTGACTATTATCGTGTCTATTGTTTAGTAGATTAGACACTGTAAAATAAATCGAAAGCGTAACGTACGTATGCCGAAATAATAATAATAAAAAGCAGGAAGAACAATGTTATAGACGTATTAATATATTCGGATGAACAACTCTTTGTTATCTGTTTCTTTATTCGATTTGTTCCATGTTTTTTTCATTCTGTGTTTAGTTAATCGCCATGTTGAATTTAGATCAAATAAAAATTAGCCCAAACAAAAAGAAATAGAACCTTAGAAGAAGCCATTTTATCTACACGACAAGCCGCTTGGACATATCGGAGGAAAATAAAATTATGCTGTTGCAATAAATTGGCAAGAATTAAGACTAAGACTCGGAAGATAAGTTTATCCAAGCTTTATTCAACAAAATACAAGCAGGGTTAATATCACATGTGCTGTTGGTATTTTCGAATATGGCTGACTGCCGTAATCCGAAAAAGGGGCCGTAAACAAATACGTTGTCGTAAAGGAGTGTCGTAGTCCATGTCTTATTTGCGACATAATCATTCGAAATTCACTGAAAAATATATAATATGAAAGCAAGATTATCTTATAAATAAATGACATTAGAAATAAGCTCATTGAATGGTCAGCTTCGTGGCCAAGGAAACTGGTTTTCCTGCTAGCAAATGTGGTCGTGTTCAAACTTAGATTTAAAAATAATCTTGAGTTTTGAATGTTGCTTTTCAAAGCTGGATTTATTTATTTACCTGTCGCTATACAATCTTCAGGACTCTGTTGCTCTTTAATTTGATATTGTAATGAACTAAATAAGAAACTTTATATTTTTTCCTCAAAAAGCTGTAGCATCTATTGCAACAGGGCGAATACGGTGAAAAATCAATTGAATAAAAAAGTGACATGCATATCAAAACGTTATTCTTGAATAACGCTGCATATATTTGTGTGTCTGTGATGTGTGTATGTGTGCATATATATATATATATATATATATATATATATATATATAAAATATATATATAGTACAGGTAATATATCTGTTGGTATATAATCCAGGTGGATCCTAGTAATATCAGATATTAAAACTGAGCCACAAAGAGAACTTAATGTATTTATCATCACAGAGCATATATATTACCATAATTTCTGGAAAATAATACGCACCCATAAATAATACGCACCCCAACAAATGATCCAAAAATTAAGAAATATATCTATCCCTATGTATAATACGCATCTATAAATTTTGTCAAAAACAAAACAAAAAATAATTTTGCATATCATGATATTAAGAATAAAATCGAAACTAAGGGCTAAGTTGGAACTTATTGTAAAATGGATTCAGAAATCTTGGGATTCCGTCAGTGAGAATGTTATAAAGAGAAGTTTCAAGAAATGTTGTCTCACGACAGCAATGGATGGCTCTGAAGATGACATTCTTTGGCAAGAGAATGAAGTGAACGAAGATAATTTTGAACAGGACGAAGATAATATTGTGAAGGATAATTTGTTTGATGACAATTTAGATATTGATTCTATAATAGAAAGTGGTGATGATGATAATGAAAATTAAAATTTCAATAAATTGCTAACTTGATAACCTCTTTTCTTCGAAATTGGCCTTTTTACAGATTTTTATTTTTCGCCAAATAAAAAAATGCGATTACTGATAAACATATATTTATTGACAAAAATGCTAGAATTATTATTGTTGGTTTTAAAATGAAAATTCGGATAATATCTTTCTTATTTTAGAAAAACAAGTACGTATTTATTATTATAAATCGATAATGAAAAAATAATTTTGTTTAAACCTATTTATAATACGCACTTCTATTATCACCTGTAATTTACAGTAAAAAAATGCGTATTATTTTCGAGAAATTACGGTATACAGCAAAAAATCCCAAATTACTTCATGTGGGTATAGCCTATTTCAAACTAGCGCAACCCTGGGACTGTCCTCTTCAGCCCTGGACTGAATTCGTCTCGGAATTCGAAGAATATTTTAACATTATTAACAATTTTAGTAATATGCTATATTTAAATAATGATAATCTATAATTTTATCCTTTGTTACTACGTACGTACGTTACGCTTTTCAATATCTAATCTATCAGAGGTAGACAGAATATTATAATAATTAGAGTATTGTTTCATACTCACATAAAAATACTTTATAATATTATGCGTCTTGTTTCTTGATTTGTTCGCTCCAACATACATACATTAAGTTTTCATTCTATCATCCAGTGTTTAATCAAATGTACTAAGTGATAAACAAGATACTGTAATATTCCGATCATTTTATCTTTTAATAATTATAATCTATAATGTTACGTCTTCATGTTCTTTCCTTCCTTTCTCCTTTTGTACAGTTATTATTATTATTACTGTTATTATTATTATTATTATTATTATTAGTAGTAGTAGTAGTAGTAGTAGTAGTAGTAGCAGCAGCAGTAGTAATAGTACAACAGTTAAGAGAAGAGCGCGATTTAAGAAAAGAAAAGGAAAACAATGACAATATTAAACAATATTTCGACATAATGTCTTCTTTAAGTTATATTTAAAAACATTTTCAAGTACAAAAATATATAAATCTACAAAAAAAAAAATGATATAAGTCTTTGTACAAACGTTGCTTGACTTTTATTAAAAAAAAAAACAAAAAACAAAAAAAAACAAAAACGGCTGCCCTGGTAATGAACGCGTCAAAGCGAATGAAACGCCACCATCGTGAAGGCATAAAGCTGAAACGTGCTTAATATGATGTCCATCTTGCTCATCTTGGAATTTTCCGTTAGTTGATTAATTAATAAGAGGAATCAATCAAACAGCTTAATATAAACCTTATGGAACTCTCCTGTCATGTAGTAGTAGTAATAGCAGTATCATCATCATCATCATCATTTCCTTCCGAGTTCCAACCGGAGACCTAAGCGCTCGTGACATTTTCCACTGAAACATTTTATAATAAATAAATAAATAAACCTAAGAGCACGCAGTTTTCATAGATAAAGCCCTTCGTAAGATGTGAGCTGTACTTCTGTTATAGTGGAACACACCTATTCTATAGTTAATAGACTCTCCCACCTATAATAAGTAGGAGTAGTAAGAGTAACGAGTGGCTCAGTGGGTTCGGTCAGTCAGTCGATGCCGGACGACCGTTAGTCGGATACTAAAGTATCAGCGACCACAACTAGATTTCTCTGCGTCATTACCTATTATATCAAGTTCCTAACGTTTTGTACGTCGAACCTATTTTAGGACCGACTTAGTACAAATACAAGCCTCCACCGTGAAACCAGTCTATAACAACTTCCGAGAACAATATTTTGTATTTTTTTAAGGCATTGAGTCTATCAGACCTTTTCCAGTCAAATCCAAGACCCACACCACAACTGGAATTATTGATATCTTCATGTGCCATGTTTTTTAGATTTCCACTTCAAGATCCTTGTATTTTGATAGTTTTTTGTTTTTTTTTTGAAGATCTTCAAAGATACAATCTGCAGGAAATGCTATGTCAATAAGAAAGCATATATTATTTTGTGGTCATGGGTCACTATGCCTAGGCGATTGGATTTGATTGTTTCGTCTGTGTGCGTTGTAAAGTTCCATAAAATTGTTACAGATGAATGGTGTTTATATCAGTTTCTTGTAGTTTCATTCCCATAAAAGTTGCATATTTTCGGGTGCAGATATTAGCCCATTCTATCATGCCGAGTTTTATATTCAATGGATGCTAACACCGTACAACGTGTTAAAGATTCTCTATTGTTTCTGAATATTCATCACAGAATCTGCATTCCGGGTTAACATAATTTTTCGATATGTTTGCTTGGTAATTTCGAGTTGGTAAGAATTATTCCCGTGTAGCAAGAATAAAACCTTCGGTCTGAGCTTTTAATCCTTCATTACGTAATGGTGTTTATCTACACCAGATCGTTTGGCACGGAGAGAGTATTGACCATGAAGAGGTTTATATTGCCATCGTTTCTGCATTTGGTCCATTGCATTTACTTCTGCCTTCTTTTTTAGATTCTTTGCCGCTGCAGTAGTTGTGTTATGGTTTACTTCTTCTTCATCGTCCACTTGAAATTCCATTATGAATTTCATCGTTTTCTTTATTACTGAATAGATTTTCTTATTTTTTTTCATCTTCTTTGGCACAAATCATCATCCAGTCTTCTGCAGTTTCCAGGTATCTTTGAAGACCGACTGTTGTAGTTTTGTAAAACAGTTCAAGTTGAACTAATCTTCTGCCTTCTTTAGATCTGGAGAAATAAAGACAATCGACATGGATCTTAGGATGAAGCATGCGATGTCAAGTGAAAAACTTTCTCGTTTTGACATCGATTCGCTTAATGTTAGCTATGGTCCAGTTAAGGATGTTGAAACTCTATTGCACAACAGGGAAGGCCAAAGTGTTTATGGCTGATATTCCGTATTTTGTGAATTCAACTTGGTGTTTAACCTTAGACGCACATACCTGTAGAATTCTTTTCTTACTTTCTCCTTCATTTGGCTATGCTGGATTGCATCTCCTTCACTGACTTCTACATATTTATAGACTTCTTTTCGTCCCAGTCTCCTAATCTTTGTGACTAATCGAGATTTTTTGAGTGTGTTTCGGTAATTGTCCCTTACTTGAATGTGAATTTTGCACATTTATCTAATCCAAAGTCTATACCGATTGATTTGATTTCTACGGCTTATCAACATTTTGCAGGTTATTTAAAGACAGAAAACATATTTTTTAGATTGTAAAAGTTTTTCTTTTGAGATAATAATAATAATAATTTAGTGATAAAAGTCTTACTAATTAACCCATATTTGGGAGAAGTAGTGGATTCATACTTTTCCCATATTTTGCGCGTAAGTGAATATAACAAACCCAACTGGAATTGGGACTCAGCCCCCCGATGAACAATTCCGAGCAATTATCCATTATACCACTCGCACATCCAAGCTTACAGCACCTGGTCACCCATCTTGGTATTGAGCAGAATCGATGCTGCTTAACTTCGGTGATCGTACGGAAACCGGTGCTTCGACATATGGCCGTAAGTCTCCATACCGATATCACCACTAAAATATTATACAATATTGATGAGACCTTTCAACTCATTGTCGTCTTTGGCAAAAACATTGTGGTCATCCTTGTAGGATAAATGAAATGCTTTGTTCATTATTATTATTATTATTATTATTATTATTATTATTATTTAAAGATTTCGCAAGTTGATGGTGATAAAGTCGTGTCGTTTTGTGGACTTTCAAAAGTTTGTTGTGTTTACCCGAAAACAATCAGAAACTACCATCTATCCCGCTATATTTTGATTTCAACTTGGCGAACTGGACAAAGCTGAAAGAAAATTTTTCTTAGTCGTAAATGTAGACAAACGCCAGTTCATTCTTTACCAGGGTTTATTTATAACAACAGACAACGGGGATCTCTTTCTATTTCTATCCACGTTACTTGGAGCGATGTGATAATCTATGTGATCATGTTTTCGCTTTTAATAGTAGTAAATATCTGGAGAACTTTTAACAGCGGATGGAAAATCCGACACCGACATTCGAACACGCATTGGACTAACGAAAGAAGCATTCCAAAAGCTAAGCAAGGTACTGGGAAAAGGAAAACAAATTCGTTATACTCAAAGAGTACTGGATTGCTATGTGATATCCGTCCTCTTATATGACATTGATTGCTGGACAATCTCCCCATGGATGAGCAAAAAACTAAGAGGCAACAAAAATGTGGCTCTACAGAAGGATACTGAAAATTCTATTGACGGAGCCAGTGAGTAACAATGAAGAAAACGACAGAAAGAACACATACTCAGAATCAGGAAAAGACAACTGAAATTCCTTGGACAAGAAGGTGGCCTTGGAAAACTTAACTCTCACGGGACATATTGAGAGCAAGAGAGATAGGGGAAGGCAGCGAGTCACTTACCCGACGAGCTTGTGTAAATGGAAGAGTGGGTGGCAGCCTTAGCAAAGAGAAAAATTGCCACATCAGATAGGAAGTTGTGGTGAGACATCATAAGCTATGTCCTGAATGGACGCGACACAAAGAAGGAGAAGAAGTCACGGTCTGTTTATTTTTTTGTTTGTTTCGGATCAACATAGACTGGTCGGTGGAAGAATTTTTAGTTCTTAGTCTTTCGTTTCCGTTTTTTGTCGAGTGTACTAAATCGTCTGAGATGCGGGCAGTTAACTTTCCCCCCTTTTTTTTGTTTCACATAATAAAGACTTCAATGACAAGGCACCCACATCTTCGGAGATTCTCCTGTCGACCACGAACATCTCTCTCTCTCTCTCTCTCTCTCTCTCTCTCTCTCTCTCTCTCTCTCTCAGCGCTTTGCTTATAAGTTATTTTTATCAGTCTGACTTTGATAAATTTCGATAATTCGACTATTCATCAAAGTTGCCCACACCTTATATTCGCCAAATCAGGATTCTGGTAATTTCTGAAACCTGATGGCTTCTCATATTACCGCGTCAGTCAGCTTTTGGGGGTTCAAGTTTAGTAGAAATTAGGCATTTCTGGAGAATAGTAACTTGAATAAGCAGCTGACTTTGCTGCATTCTATTTACTGAAGACCCATAAATTCTGTCAACACTTTTCTCCCGACTTAATTCTCACGTACACAATTTCAAATTTTTCCAAACTCGATCAGGGTTCAATTTCTCTGATCCGTATCTTCGCACCGCATTTTAGAGTCTTAAAACCACATTTTTAGTTTGAAAGTTTTACTTTTTTTCCCACTCATTATTTTTCATTTTCATGAATTTTCTCATTAATGAATATAGCTGACAACTACAATCTTAAGTCCAGAGTCAACCGATATCTATACTACTCGTCCACACAATATTTTATTTCCTCCTCCCTTACAATATCACCCAGTGAACCTCTACCTTCTCTTGTATTGGGTGAACTATCAGTTAAAAAAAGAAAAAAAGGTTCCCTTATGGCGCCAAGCTATCTAAATAGTGTCATGCATTCTACGGGAGATGTAACTTTGTTATATCAAAGCTACACAGAGATAGTATAACATGGCATTTATAGCGTTACTAACACTGTAAGCCGTCTTCATTTTTCATTACTGGGGATTTTTACCGTTCATTTAGTGCAGTTTAAGTTTAAAGTCAGTCCACCCGAAAATCAATATTAGCAACAACAATTGGGTGCAACTGAGGCATATCCCCAAATGGGGAGGGGGTAACAATTTGAAGAGGGGTCCCTGAAAAGGACCGTTTTTGCATTCCCAATCTTGCAAGAAAAGAACCTCTTCCATGGACCGTCATAATAATATACGATAATTTTTATTTATATTTTTTTTATAATTCTAATAATCTTTTGCACTAGATTTCAACTCTTTAAATTGATTGTACGCTGTTTTTTGCAGACATTTAAATTTTGCCTTTGATTTTTGCGCAAAGTGTAAAAAAAACAGTTTTTTTTATTTTTCACCTTCAAGGTTGTAATTTTTTGCAGCCAATTTGAACTCAAAACGGACACTGAAGAATTATCTATCAAACAAAAAAATTTTCATCGAAATCGGATGAAAACTGTGGAAACGAATAAACAACATCCGATCACACACACACATATACACGCACACACATTTTGAGAATTATATATATATATATATATATATATATATATATATATATATATATATATATATATTGAAAATTATAGATATAAATTTTATATTAAAATGATGATGTGTCAGTGTTAAATATGAAGCTAGGAACATATTGATTTTTTCACAGATAAAAGTTCAAGTCATTCAGAAAGCAGATTCAAGGAAATTTAGAATTTTACCAATATAAAATGAAATCTTTAGTTTCAAATATACTATGATTTTAGTTTCTTCTCTTATTACCTAGAATTTTTTTTTGCAAGACACTGACGCATGTTCAAATCCTCACAGCAATTAATATTGTTGAAATTATAGCTAACACTTTTTGTCGTTTCGTTCAATTTCGAAAACCAATCGATGAAATTTTAATAAGCTGATTTGTTTAGAAAACTATCTTGACAAAAAAACCTACTTCGCGGTTTTTACACACGCTAGTAAAACCAACTGTATTTTGTACCCACTTCACTGTTTGCACTTTTCCCAAAACTTTGGTTTCGAACGGTCAATGCATGGCTATTCTAGAGTGTGTGGCCAGGAGTGAGGGGCAGCCAGCATAAATTTGCCGGGCCTCGAAAGCCGAGGAGCCCCATGAAAATACATTTAGGGGTTTAGGGAGGGGAGCTTCTTTGCAAAAAAGTCGAAAGCAAAATTACCAATCGGTATTTAACTGAAAGAAATACGAAGACTAAAACCATTTTTAGCAAAACGTCACTTTTCAAATGTATATTTTATGTAAAAAAAAAAAAAACGTGCGAGGAACATTTAAATACCTAATATATATATATATATATATATATATATATATATATATATATATATTAAGTTATGAAGAACTTGGTAATCCGTATGGGTAATCCAGAGCTAATATTTTAAAAAAAAATAGAGATTTTAAGGTACCATTATAATAATTTATTTCACCAGAGTCCTTTTAAAAAGGACGCCGGATCATCAGATAGCACCTCCAAAAATGAAATTAAAATTGATGGGTAGTGTAAGTTAAGCTATCTGATGATCCGGCGTCCTTTAAAAGGGCTTTTTGGTGAAATAAATTATTATAATGGTACCTTAAAGTGCTCTGTTTTTCTTTAACACACACACACACACACACACACAAACACACACACACACACACACACACACACACACACACACATATATATGCGTGTGTGTGTGTGCATTCTATTATAGATTATATTCGCACGCGCGATCTATCTCGCTTGTTCATATCTATCTATCTATCTATCTATCTATCTATCTATCTATCTATCTATCTATCGATTCCAATCTGTTCATATCTACCTACAGTTATCTGACGGAAATCAAAGAGATCCACAAACAAATTGATAATGAAATTGATGAGTATATCAGTCACCCGATCAACGCCTTTCACTTAATCAAGCGTCTTAATATGCGATGGTCAGTTTTGGTAGAAAAAACCCTGGAGAAAAAGATCCCTTATAAAGGTAAGTACTTACAAGTTATTTTTTTAATTTTTTAATTTTATTTATTGCCTTATTCGGAGAAAAAATCTGCTTGAATATGATCTTTACTGCTTTTGTTATGTGTGTTCCTGATTGAGTGGTTGGAACGTTAGCGATCCAACCATGATTCCAAGTTCGAATCTGACCATGGTAGAGAAGATGACCTTGATAATATCAGCCTTGGGAGATGATTCCAGCGTATGGTGCCGCTGGTGCAAATCACAGCTTGACACAAGCCTTTTTAGTGAAACTGAAAGTCACTGCTACTTGTGCTAGCACGAAGTTACAAGTCATCGTGACCGAGGGTTTGAGTGTGCTGGCCTTGTTCAACTATTGATCATACCAGATTATACGTTTTCTCTCAGTATAAGTTGCAGTATAAACTACAGGTTGACTCTGTGGGTGTTGAAGAAACACAAATATGCCTGAGCAAGCGTCTGCAACAGAGATTAGCTAGCCGCTCTAGTTGATTCCATAACCTCCCGAAATAGACGGATCAGTGAATGTTTCAGTGTGAGGTTAAAATAAATGGATCAATGTTAACTAAACATTACTAGTGTTTTTTAGGCTTCATGTTGCTTTGCCTTTCAAAAATGTTATGGACTTGTGGGAAGATGAAATAAAACCAATAAATAAATCAATAATAAAGAATACAAAGAAATAAATTAATTTTCCCGTGATTCAAATAATAAAGGAACCGGAAAGGGTTTCTGGTCACCTGCGCAATTTTATGACCCCGATTCTGGGAAAGGACAGAACCTCACTTTTTCCATTTTCCATCTCTGGGCGGTTGGACGTGTTTTGCAACTCCACTCATGTAACAAGTAATTTGGTCGTTCCACTTCAGCGCAAAGCTGACTTGAGCTCAACCAATTTAACCATTCTTCGCCTTACTTTACCCTAACTTCTGCATCAGAAAAAGAAAATGGACATACCCAAGAGACATTGAAAACTTTGTTTCTTTACAGTTAATATAAAAGCGCGCGCACACACACGCACACACACACACAACCTTTAATTTCCATACACTCAATATTTCTTTAATCTTATACACTTCCTAAAAACTTTGGCCTTTTGGCAAACACGGACCTATGTGCCTGCAAAAATATGGTGCGTCAAGTGGACAGATTTTCAACTGACATTGCTATTATTTTAACTACCGTCGCTCTTCGGCAATGTTTATTATTTTAAAAAGCGATGATCAGAATTACAATAAAATCTAGACAGGTGATGAAAGCGAATTTATATATTTCATTTTCTTTGTCCTTGAAAATTGACAACAAAAGTAAGAGACACTATTATTATTTATTATATTGTTTATTGGAATGGTTGGTAAAACATTGGCTAATTTCCAATTAATTCGAATTTTATAAGATGATAAATAATAAAGATTTTCTTATAGTTTGTTCACATATTTTAATAATTTAGTAAATGTTTATAAATTTATGAATAAAAAAAATGCTTTCTTATCTATTTCTTTATAAATTGGTAAATGCTAAATATTACATTGCATTAGTTTTAATTGTATTAGTTTTTAGAATGTTGTAAATATAAAATTATTCTTGTAAATAATCTAATAAATAAATAGTGTTTAATGTTTTTGTTGTAAATTCTCAAAGAACAAAAATATGTATGAATTCACTTTAATCATATGTTTTGGTTTTACTACAATTTTAATCAACGCTTTTTAAAACAAAAAACAATTCCAAGGAGTGAAGGTAGTTAAAATAATAGCGGTGTCAATGGAAAAACCGTCTTTTTTTTCGGGCACAAAGTTCCATATTTGTCGGCTTTTAATATCCTTTTGCTGGTACACCATGAAAGAGTGTTAATAAAAAATAGTTAATCTATGTATATGTTGAGTCAATTTATTTTTAAATGGTTCAAATTTCTATCGAATTTTCTTAGGTGACTCACGATTAGTTTAAATTATTTTATTTTGACAGCATTACGCTTCAAACTGGATCATTTAAAAGCAAGTTTTCCAAGTGATGTTGATTTTGAAACCCTTGCCAAGGGATTGACCCGAATGCAATATCTAAGTGGAATTGACCTGAAAGAGATGGTCAATGGTACTATAAATGGTAAACATTCTCTCCACAAACCGAAGGTGGCTGATCTCTTTTTTATCGCAAGGATGGCGTACGACAACGAAGACTTTTATACGGCCATTATCTGGCTTAAAGAAGCATCTAAATTAGCACAGTATGAAGACCCGACATTGATTGAAACTTTACATGACAAACCAATCAACCTAACAAGTACGATGAGTTTGCTCGCTTCTGCTCTGTACGAAGTAAGTAGTTCAAAATTTCATTTTTTTTTCACTTACATTAACAACATTATACATTATTAATAGGAATAAACAGGCTTACCTATCGTCCGGTTCACACTCCTTCCCGGTTTTTGAACAGGAGTAGAGGTTTATCTCTTGCTCCTGTTTAAGATTGGGTTTCCGATTCCTTCTAAAGTTTACTCCATTCTCTTTCACTCCCAGTAACCCCTTGCGTCTTAGTGGCATTATCACCTTGATTGATTAAAAAAATATCGGTTCTTTCGGAACTGTTTCTCTCCCTTTGTTTTCATTGCCACATTATTTCGGCCGCTGTACATTTCAGTCTGTGTTTGAAAGGAGGGGGTGTTTTTATTGGGTCGGAATTAAAGATCGTAGCCTTTCTTAAATGAATTCCAAAGACGACAGTTAGATATTTCTACACAAATTTATTCATCCATATATGTGCCATGTTGTTTCACCGTATTTCGCCATCTTTGAGGCAGCTTCATAATTCCCTCCTCCCAGAACTTGAGATCTTCCTGAGCTTTTTATGCTAGTTTTAGTAGTTTTTACAATTTTCCAGAGAACTGAAATTCTTTTCATTAAGAGTATTTTACATGGATTGATATAAGTAGTAATCTGAGGCTGCAAGAACAGGTGAGTTCGGCGGATATAGTAAGGCATCCCAGCCAAGCTGTACTAATTTCTCTCGGGTCTTAAATAAGATATAAGATCTAGTGTTGTCCTGATGGAAGACAATACCGTTCCGGTTGACCAATTCCGATCGCTTTTCATCGATTGCTGAGGAAGGAGCTCGTAATGTACAATCACCTACCCAATTCCACAAGATATACAGCACCACCTTTTTCGGATAGGGATCAGCTTTTTGAGTGAGTAACGGTAGCTCATTTCGTTTTGCCCGGCTCTTTTTTCACTCCACATTCTTGTAAACAATCCATTTTTCATCGCCTGTTAGCGTTTTTTGTTGCATTTCGACAGAGAATCACTGATGGAAACACGGTGCATTAAACCTTTTTACAGTTAAATCGTGAGACACACAAACCTTGTAGCGATTCACATATCCAAATATTTTCAAATGCCTTACAACGCTCATATGAAACATGTGGAGTATCTCTGGCGATGTTCCATGTGACTTGGATTATTTTTAATCAGTGTTTCGATTTGGTCATCATCAACGATTGCTGGCCCGATAAAAATTTCTTGGTCTTCCAGATCACCATTTCCACTTCTGAACCTGGCGAACCCCTTCAGCTATGGTACCATCTTTATAAACGGTACATATCTTTTTTTTCTTTTTTTGCTGATTATATAGCTTTTTTTATTTCTCGAAATAAAAAAAAAGCATCAAAGAAGGAAAATGCATAACATTATTCTTCATTTTCATAAAAACACTTAAAATTTACAATCCACTCATGAATCACACAGAAAGACACTTTGAAATGTCACCTTTCAGAATATGTATATGTAGCATAATTTTCAGTTAGGTATGAAACGAAATGGCGTGTTCAAATGCTACCTATTGAAAAATACTATGAACTTTTGTTCCAATCCATTTGTTACTGGTTCTTTCGGAACACTTTCTTCCTATTTTTTTTTTTTGGCTCAATGTTTCGGTCGCTATACATTCCGGACTTTTTTCTGTTTGAGATTCTGTGAGGAGGATGTGTTGTTGTTGTTATTATTATTATTATACAATAATTTTTTTGGATGAGTTTCCTCACATGACAACATCATGGCAGTTGATTCGTTTGGCTTACTGGATTACCGCCATTTGATAATAATCACAAGCGGGTAGATTTTGAATTTCCACCCCCTGACGATAATTACAGGCAGTGTGAGATTTGAAAGAATCTCCCTCTTTCTTTTTCATAGCGAAAAGATGTATTCTTTTCGCTCCCACCGACATGTAAGTAGCTCAACTACATACAGTGTAACCCGGATATAAGAGACCCGGATATAAGAGAAACCCGGATATAAGAGAGATTTTCTCTGGTCCCAAATTAGAGCCTGTGTTAATGTATATAAAATAGACCAAACCCGGATATAAGAGAAACCCGGATATAAGAGACTTCTTCTCCGGTTCCGACAACTCTCTTATATCCGGGTTACACTGTACATTGAAGATTGCTTTGAACTCTTCATATTTAATTTATTTCTCAATTTTCCTTTTGTAAAATATTCTATCAATATATTTGTTAATATTTATTTATTTGAATTCTATGTCTTATTTTTCCTTTGGACTCACACGAGTCCGCTGAAATTGTTTTGGGGTCAAACGTACCATGAAACATGTTGATATCCACAACAGGCTATGCATAGTTACTATTATACACCGATTCATTCTGATAAGTTTCTTCACCTTAATTGTAACATTTCATCTTTTTTTCTGAATTTTTAAGATAAAGTGATGCCACTATTGATACTGATACATTTTGTTCAGTTTTCATCATCTCTGTCATCACTAAAATTAGTAAGATCAGGTGAACTCGCCGATGCTTTTGGCAATATGCTGGGGGAGCTAAACAATTTTTTTGCATTCACAAATAATTCAAATACAATTAAAAACTACAGAAATCTGTGATAAAAAAACAAAAAACAAAACAAAATGAACAGTGAAAATGATTCAAATAATTCTGCTTTTCCCACCCTTCGCACAAATGTTACGTCCCACCAATACCTCATAAATAATGGACTATTCCATTTTGATCGGGCGAAAAGATGGAAAAGACATACAGAAACGCTACTTGATTTCAATAAAAGGAAAGAAAGGAGAGTGGAAGGAAAGCTAGAAGTGTTTAACGTCTCCTGTCAATAACTCATAAATAATGGACTACTTTGTTTTGATCGCATGGAGAGACGGAAATAACTTATCAGAGAAACTATTTGGTTTCAGTGAGAAAATGAAAGAAAGAAAGAAAGAAAGAAAGAAAAAGGGAAAATAAGTGTTTAATGACTTTTACCAATACCTGATAAATAATGGACTATTCCGTTTTGATCGCATGGAAAGCCGAAAAATACGTATCAGAGACACTACTTGGTTTCAGTGAGAAAATGAAAAAGAAAGAAAGAAAGAAAGAAAAAGGGAAAATAAGTGTTTAATGACTCTTGCAAATACCTCATAAATAATGGACCATTCCGTTTTGATCGCATGGAAAGATGGAAAAGATGTATCAGAGAAACTACTTGATTTCAGTGAGAAAATGAAAGAAAGATGGAAATGTTCAACGTCTGTTTAAATGAAATCGAAAAAGTGGTCAATTCAAAATCTTTTCATTTGTACCCCCTTACTTCTTTAAATAACGATCAGTATTCATATTTATGATTGTTTTGTTAAAGTTGTTAAGCTCAAATATTTAACGATATGATAGGGGAATTTCTACGGATATTTTACTACTATTTAATCATTAACTTAAGAATTAAGATTAATCAGAAAATTAAAATAAGAAAACTGAAATTTTCATTGGTATTTTTAGTTCAAATAATTTCTGCTTTTGATTTAACAAAAACTAAAAAAAAAAACAATATAACTTTGAAATTGAAAAAAATATTTTTTTTTTGTTTAAAAAGTGACATATCTTTACCTGATATCTTTAAGAGTCTATATTTTAACTCTGAAAATATTGCAAGTTATTTAAACACTATTCGGAAATATCGATTTCACCAAGGTTACCAACGCTTAGCTATACTATACTAAGATGTAAACATCAAGTGCTTCTAGTAAAAATCAATATAATTTGCAATCTACCTAATATTGTTTATCAAAATAGGTATACAGGTATACCTCACCTTACGTCATTAGTTAGTTCCAGAGGTAACGACTTAGGTCGGAAAACGACTTAAATCGAAATAACCACGCTATAAACCGCAAATAAGCACTCCTCATTGGATATTACAGTATTTATGACATGTACGTACAGTATTCTGAATAAAATAATTTATCAACGATATAGCCTTACGCTTAGCATTAGCAATGAAATAACGGTCTGGCAATTTTTCCCTATGTAATCCAGTTTCGTTTATGTTAAAAATCTGTACGGGAAGAAACACATTTTCTTCGATGATCTTAGACAATGCTTTAGGAAAATCGGCTGCTACTTGTTCGTCAGCTGATGCACTTTCACCTTGCTTCTCAATACAGTAATAACACTTAATAGACGACAACATAGAGACACAAATGTTTTTCATATTTCGTTTTCTATGATTTATGATGATTACGTTAACATTTACTGTAAATGTACGTATTTTAACATGATTTTATATACTTTTATTCTATTTTATTGTACAGTAACATGATTTTATGTGCTTTAACGCTTTTCTAGTGAATATTACGACTTCAGTATTTGTGGCAGACAGACGTAAAGTCGAAAATATGACTTGATTTTTATTTTTCCATATAGATATTTTTTTGACAAATGACGTATAATCGAGAATGACTTAACTCGAAACGACGTAACCCCAGGTATACCTGTATAGAAATTATGTACTCCTTTAATAGCGATAAAATTTAATTAAAATTAAATTGAATTAAAATTAAAATTTCCATTTCCTTAAAGTTATTTCTTTGATAAGTTAATTATAAATGATTAATACTCTTTGAATGCATGTGTGTTCGTACTCGAATGTACATATCTTGATTTTTGTACTCAGAATGTTTTGGCTGTTTAACTCTTGTATAACATGTGGATTGCCTCATGGCCAAACTAGTTGGATATTTCACACTGATACCAGTGGTCAGAACAATAAGAATAATGTAGATTTTTTAAAATCATTTCACCCCAAGCAATTCCATCACTAGGGGTTTACAGGGAGTGAAAGAGAATGAGAAGACTTTAGTGAGGAGAATTGGGGAAAGGGCTATAAAAGAACAGGATTCAGGAAGACAGATGATGGCGATTGACGTTGCATTTCAATTTTTCGAGTCTGTAGGTGGCAGGGAAGCAAGACATCGGAAGTTGAGAAGTGCAAGAAAAGAGACTATTAGAATAGAACTTGCGGTTGCT